ACACACACACACACACACACACACACACACACACACACACACACACACACACACACACACACACACACACACACACACACACACACACACACACACACACACACACACACACACACACACACACACACACACACACACACACACACACACACACACACACACACACACACACACACACACACACACACACACACACACACACACACACACACACACACACACACACACACACACACACACACACACACACACACACACACACACACACACACACACACACACACACACACACACACACACACACACACACACACACACACACACACACACACACACACACACACACACACACACACACACACACACACACACACACACACACACACACACACACACACACACACACACACACACACACACACACACACACACACACACACACACACACACACACACACACACACACACACACACACACACACACACACACACACACACACACACACACACACACACACACACACACACACACACACACACACACACACACACACACACACACACACACACACACACACACACACACACACACACACACACACACACACACACACACACACACACACACACACACACACACACACACACACACACACACACACACACACACACACACACACACACACACACACACACACACACACACACACACACACACACACACACACACACACACACACACACACACACACACACACACACACACACACACACACACACACACACACACACACACACACACACACACACACACACACACACACACACACACACACACACACACACACACACACACACACACACACACACACACACACACACACACACACACACACACACACACACACACACACACACACACACACACACACACACACACACACACACACACACACACACACACACACACACACACACACACACACACACACACACACACACACACACACACACACACACACACACACACACACACACACACACACACACACACACACACACACACACACACACACACACACACACACACACACACACACACACACACACACACACACACACACACACACACACACACACACACACACACACACACACACACACACACACACACACACACACACACACACACACACACACACACACACACACACACACACACACACACACACACACACACACACACACACACACACACACACACACACACACACACACACACACACACACACACACACACACACACACACACACACACACACACACACACACACACACACACACACACACACACACACACACACACACACACACACACACACACACACACACACACACACACACACACACACACACACACACACACACACACACACACACACACACACACACACACACACACACACACACACACACACACACACACACACACACACACACACACACACACACACACACACACACACACACACACACACACACACACACACACACACACACACACACACACACACACACACACACACACACACACACACACACACACACACACACACACACACACACACACACACACACACAGGGTGTTCCATTTTAATCGATCACCTCAAATATCTCTTGAACAGTGCATTTTAGGAAAAAATGTTTCAGATAAAAGTTTTGGGATTTCGAGGGGGACATAAAATATCATTGGTTTGACTTTGAGTGGCGTCGTCAAGGTCAGGACAAGGTCACTTTGAATTTTTTAAATGAAACCCCTATTTTTCGTTACATATTCTTATAGCATATCTTGAGAGCTTTTCAAAACACTATAATCAAATATTTTTTCATTAAGAATTTTTCGAGTTAAAAAGCTTCAAAGTTACAATATTGTTGCCATTAGCACCCTGTATATATATGTATATATGTATGTGTGTGTGTATGTGTGTGTGTGTGTATACATGTCCTTTTATATAAACAATATATGTAAATATATGAGTATATTATTGTATATACATCTATTACTATTATTATTATCGTCCTTATTTATTGAAATGTATTTTGATTATATGTTATGCAGTATTAATCGCCTGTTATTATGAGGAGTTTTGATGAATACATGTTGCGTATATTATCGAGTAGGTTAGGCGGCTATAGATTATATGGCATTACGGTTATATGGGAATATTTTCACTTATTTTCAACAAGTCCGTATATCGGAAAATCATTTTATTATATATGATTGGATTTGGCATAAAATATACTTTTTTTTTGATAGACACAAAATTTTAAATTACAAAAATGAAAGTTGAGTGGTGGGGATATGTTGGTAATCATTACATTTTTCACATATCTGATTTTATTATTGCAAAGCACTCCTAAAAGCATTTAATGTTTGTTTAGAAACATTTTTTCTATTTCTTATACTTTAGACAAAACATGATTTTTTTCAAAGGGGTGTTTTGCCCCGTAAAAGTCTACCTGGGTACATATAAAAAAATACGTGTCTCTTCTTTTGGTCTAGATGACAACACCCAGTAAGCAATCTGCGCGCAGACTGACGTCAGACTGTCGACAGGATCTGTCGACAGATCCATAGACATCTGCGTCCCCAATCTGCCGTCAGACTGTTGACAGGGTCTGCCAACAGACTCTGACGACAGACTGGCGGCAGATTGCGCGCAGAGCCTGTTGACAGACTATGACGGCAGATTGGCTGCAGATTGCGCGCAGATCCTGTCGTTTCGTAGGTTCTTCAATTAAATTTTCTCATAATTTTTTATAATTACTCATAGAATAAACGCTTTCTCATAAATACTCATAAAATACTATGACAAAAAAAATGTTTTCTACATTATTTTTTCATAATTTTTAATATTTTCTCTAGTGAGATTCGAACTTGAACTGAAGACATCTTTTGGATAATCGTCCGTCGCCTTAGACACTACGCCAATTCCTCACTTGATAAAAAGCGCTTTGTATTATCTATTTAAAGTTTAAGGAAGAAAAATATTATAGTTTGTTCGCCTTTTAAGCCGCAAAATATAGACGAAACCATTTAGCGTATAAATAATGTAAGAGAGACTGGTCTGATAATTCGAAATTAATTTTCTACCAAGTAATGTATAGAAAATTACTGCAATAAAACAGTAGATAA